GGCACAGCCCCAAGTATGCTTAGATGGTCCCGGACCGTAATCTACGTAATAACCTAAATCTTCAGAAATATACTGCCACAAATCTCTGTTACCCATGATAATACGCTGAGTGTCAGATTCTAATAAGCCTGAATATCGGACAAATATTTTGAATATTTTTATTAGTATCATTACAAAAAAATAATTATAATAATAATAACAATAATAATAATAAAAAAGAACTAATATTGTTAATAAATACATACCAATAACATCAAATTCCAAATCCCTAATGGCGTCCCTAATACGCACTTCTGAAGACCACATATCATTATCAAGAGTGAAATGAATCGTCCAGATACCAGCTGTAAACATTTTATGTTCCGGTCTATGCGGAACAGGTACCTTCGCAGATGTATGCCTAGCGAATGAGACTAAATAACTAAGAAAAATAATTACAAAAATAGCTATACGAATAAAATTTCTAATTGATCTAATCTTTTTAAGTTGGGAAATTTTATAATTTTCAACAATACTAGCAGCTTTTCTGATACCTAAACCAATAAATGCCATCATAAATATCAAAATCCAATTTGTGCGTTCACGAGCTAGTGGGCCACCAGGAACAAACTCATAAGCAACGACCCATACATGTGCAAGACAAAAAATATTGTAAACCATCATGGCTGTAAATATAGTTCGACCAGGGGTGTGGAGTATTGCAGATCTAATTAAATATGGAACGATGGCCATAAAATATGCACCAAGAACAAGACCAGCGTAATATCCAATCCAAGCGGGAACAAAATAGATTATTACGCAACTAATACATCCAATTACATACAATAAATAACTTGTTGATAATCTTGTATTAGTAGATATTAATAAACCCACACCCATTGCAGAGATGGTAACAGGCCCAGAAGAAATTGGATTTGGACCGTAAGTAGGATAACCATCAACAACCCAGCGCATGATAGTAGAAGAATCAGTAAACATTGAATGTAATCCGAACATGATTGCACCAAGACCTAATGATGCTGAGACCCAGTTTTTTTTAACTAATGGAAAAATAACCGGAGATTTTTCTAATAACTTATTTTTTTTTTCATTAAAATCTCTAATAATTAATTCTAAACAAACCAAAATTCCGAGTAATAAACCAATTAAATTTTTACCACCATTAAATTCATGCATAATAGGCCAAATAGGATTATTTGAGTACCAAGCCATTTTTACTACGTTATGTAATAAAAGTCCAATACACCAAACAGAGATATCATATTCTAATTGAACACTTTTCATACGATTTCCAAACCAAGTACCAAACCAAGTCAAGAGACTAATACCTATTCCAAAAGCAGAAGCCATAAGCCTATAAATAGGATCTTTTAAAGTATAAGAAGCAATACCCGTTAAAGATAATAAATGGAAGAATCCACGATATTTAAAAACGATTTTTCGCACAAAATCAAAAGCCAAAAAACCAGGTGTAACAGTAACAAGTAGGAAAACTTCATAGCCTGAAATGCCCATGTACCATAAGGGGAAATACCAGATCAATAACGCAAGAGCAGTAAGCATTGACCAGAAAGTGAAAGCTATAATATAAATAATATAAAGTATATATTGATAAAGAAAAGTTTAATATTTTCTATTTTGAGTGATTATTATTACATAATATACATAAACATATAATGTCAACATACCAAGGTAAATGTCAGCGATAAACGAACGAACTTCGGTAAACACACGAACGAATTTTATCAAGGAGCTTTCATTTTCAACGTTGGCATTACTAAAAACATACAGAAATTAGTGCAAATGTCTCATATTCAATATAGATATACATGAAACCGTGCTCTAGTCAGAAATCATTGTCAAAGTAGATACATGACTTTCACGTAAATATAAATTTTTTCAGCTCACCTTAATTTTTTAGCATTCAATAATCTAACAGAATATTTCAAGAATAATAAAATTGGGAGTAATAGTGGTTTTATTAGAATAAAAGTACATAAATATGACATCAAGATTAATTCAAATTGAAAGAATAAGAGATCATAAATAGCTTAAAAAGTGGAAATATTATCTGGATTATCTTACACCCAGAATGATAATAAAGTATTAACTTAGAGAAGTTTATCCATGACAAGATCGTACCCTGCATGACTTTCGGCAATTGAGGACATGCCGGAGACATCTATTATAGCCAATTGAAAATTCTTAAAATCGAAGGAAGTAATAGCATCAAAAGCAACGTCGTATAGGATGAGAGACCATTCAAAAAAAGCATAATATGTATAAGCTATAATTAAATTTTAAAAAATTTAGGAAATGTTTAATATTAAATTTTAGAATAATAACAAAAATAGAAAATTAGAGATACCAGTTTTGACTTTTTGAACTTTATGCTGAATGAAAAAATAGATCATTGGTACTAATGTTGAAAAGAATGCAATGCAGAACCAACGACGATATTTTAACGAAGTATTATAAGAAGTCGGTGGAGTTGTCGAAAGTACCCCAAACATCCACGGCAGAGTGCAAACCAAGTAAGTAATCATGGCAATATCATGCATATCGTGATCATCCGAGGAAGTAATATAAACCCAACCACCGCATGAGACAGTTCTGATTATACCAACAATCAAAAGAAACTTGGCAAAACCAGGAGATCCAGTGGGACGTGATTTTGTAATAAGAAGAAACCATAAGAATACTAGCATAAATCGGGGCCCTTAATTAGAAGACAAAATTTGTAGATAAAAAAATTATTAATTATTTTATGATTACATTCTGTTGACATTTTTTTTACACATACCGGAAGCTAATGCAATAAAAATTTGAAAAACAGCACGTTCCGGATACCAATCACCCGTTGTAGCGCTCACACTAGGAAACCATTCCTATCAATATTATAAAAATTCATAAATAAAAGCATAATTATAGCTAACGATAGTTGATAATAAATTGAAATATACGAACATCAGGATACCCGTAAAATTCATTTTTTACGATCTTATGATAATGTGTGTAACATCCTACAAACAAGGCAAACAAGAATGCACCTAAAAGCAACAATAATCACTGCTTAACAACATAAGGTCGCATGCCAGAAAATTTAGCATATTATTGCCAATTATAATAATTATAAATGCAAGCTTACAATAACCGAACAAAGTGTGAGCATAAGTTACAAACTCGCCAGAAATCTAGTCGTTATAATTATATAATTGAGATATTAATGAAATATTTAATATAATTGTAATAATTAATTATAATAATTAATTATATATAATAATTATATAATTATTAATTAATACTCACGTTGGTCAAGAAAACAGCATCGTTATTAAGTTTCTTAGTAGCATGCGAAGGCATGACTCCTAGTTACTACAAAAAGTATATATATACGTAAATATACTATCAAGGAAAAAAATTAAGATCTAATAAAATAAATAAAATGCTATGCAATAGTTAGTTACATTTTATATGTTTGAAACTGGGCCTGTAAAAGAAAAAGATGTTGATTTTTTGCGAATGTATAACGATGATCGGATAAAAAAAAAATAATGTAATTACAAATAAAGTTAGTTTACTATAATTTTTGTGTTTCAAAACTCTACTTAATTAGTATTAACAGGTATTTTCTTTATTTAGTATATTTATTGATTTGGGAACTTCGCAGTGCGCAAGTTGTTCTTGATTAATTAACGACACGTATCGTATCGATATTGCTGTATTGCAGATTGTTATAAATTCCGGATTTTCCGGTATTCTGCTAAAAAAAAACTTGCTTTTTCATACGTATCGATATAATTTTTCAATATCAGATATATGAGTGACGCCAAGGGAAAATTTATCTAATCAATGATAAACCAATGTCCCATTTTCCTTGGCGTCACTCATATAGTATAAAAAACATGGGATTACCCCTAAAATAAACCGTCTATTTACAATGAAAAGGATTTAAGACACAAAATTCTTCGTTAACGTTAATAAAATATTCCCAAGACTACAAATGTAACGCTTCAAAACGAAATATTACTCTTTAAGCGGAAATTTAAATATTCACCCTCCTTAGATTCAAAATAACTGAGTTCACGAGTTCATACAATGTCCATATGTACGTAATCTCTGTGTCTATGTAACACCAGTATTTAATGCTGTGCATACCAGTACGCCTATCTTAAACCTTGCTGAATTTGGTTGGTAACCATAATTCAAAATTAGTATTAATTCGGAAAACCTAAAGAAAATGAAATTAAAATCGCAATAATAATAACTTTAGCCATATTTAATAAATCATGCTTCATTGAGATTGGTTCTTTTTTAGATTTAAGATCTACGAAAACGAAAAATGAATTCCTATATTGACGTGAGTACGAAAATAAAAGAGAAAACATTTACTATTTAAGTAATTTTTTTTTAATTTTCATAAATTAGGTCCTTTTCAATTTATTATTACGTAGCGATAGCAAATAGGTAAAATCAAAAAGAGCATCGATCATAACCAAAAAAGAATTAGCTACTTTGCTTACCGTTACTAATCTGGTATGTACGACAAAACTTAAATAATAAATAAAAATATATATGATGTAGTTATACGTATACAGTAGTATATTTGTCAGAGTTACAAGCATCATCGATAAAATTTAGAAAAGTCTACTTAGAATTAAACTTATTTGGATTTGTTTATACTATTACAGTAATTAAAGAACAATTAATGACATCACGATGAGATAAATTTATGATACACAAAATGTGAAGTAAAAGAAAGAAGTAAATGCACAAATTTTAAATAGAAAACTACGGCGTAACGTTTTTTGCTTTCCATAACTCTACGTACGTACGACGTACATACGTACATCATTGGCCAGCATGGTATCACATGGCTACCATGACTTTGTCCTTAAACTTGAATCTTTTAATTCTCTCTTAATCTGCGTATCATTCTAAAAAAAAAAATTGATTTCAGGATTATGGGAAAAGCCTTTTTTTTAAAAAGAAATAATAATTATGGTGTAACATTAAATATAACTTTAAATTTCGGTAAAATGTAAAAAGTGATACCGAAATAGTTTCGGTCCGAAAATGCCTATTTTCGGCTGATCACGATCACATTACACCATCATCCGATCTATCACAAATAATCTGGCGTAGTAGTTTGTAAGTGCTGTATACTATTGAAAATGTAGGTGCTTTTTAAAAACCCCATCTATCATAAATCAACACGAATAAGAAATTAATAATAGATAC